TCCTCCTCTCTCTTTTTCTGTGTTTTTTTTTTCTCTCTCTCTCTCTCTCTCTCCTGTTCTCTCTGTGTCTTTCTCACGATCTATGTCTTTAAGTATTTCTGTCTTTTTGTTCTCTCTCTCTCTATCTCTCTCTCTCTCTCTCTCTCTTTTGCGATACATATATATATGATATATATATACCTATACGGCCACCCTGCGGGTGATAAGGAGGTTGGGGGGGAGAGGGGGCCAACAATGGGCAACAGTGGTGATTGTTGTTCTGACGATGCCTGCGGGGCGGAGCCCAGCGAGGAGTGTGATTGTGATCGCGAGTGTCATGTGATGTGGTGATGTTGGCGAAGCGCACTCGACATGATCGATCTCGCTGTCGTATTCACATTCAATCTCACTATCGATATCACAATGGATCTCACAATCGATCTCACAATCGGTCTCACAATGATCATCATCATCAACATCACCAACCACAACATCAACATCATCAGCATCAACATCACCGTCATCATCATCAGCATCATCATCATCATCACCATCATCATCTCCACCATCATATCATCACCATCATCATCATCATCGGGACACCGGCGGGACACCGCGGGCCACCGGACGCCCGGGGCACAATCATTTGGTCCGGCCGCGCCTCAGCCACAGGAGACTTTCCTCTCGCCCGCCCACGCAGCTTCGCCTCGCCCGCACGCACGGCACGCACGAACACGAAACCGAAATCGATTTCCCGGTAGGGGGGCTCTCCGTTCCACTTCGATCTCTCCCCCCCCACCTCCGACATATCTACCTTTACGACCACCCTGCGGGTGATAAGAAGGTTGGGGGGAGAGGGGGCCAACAATGGGCAACAGTGGTGATTGTTGTTCTGACGATGCCTGCGGGGCGGAGTCCAGCGAGGAGTGTGATTGTGATCGCGAGTGTGATGTGATGTGGTGATGTTGGCGAAGCGCACTCGACATGATCGATCTCGCTGTCGGTTTCACATTCAATCTCACTATCGATATCCGTATCGATATCACAATGGATCTCACAATCGATCTCACAATCGGTCTCAGAATGAACATCATCATCAACATCAACATCACCAACCACAACATCAATATCATCATCATCATCAACCACATCACCGTCATCATCATCAGCATCATCATCATCAACATCATCATCAGCACCATCATCTCCATCATCATCATCATCACCACCATCATCATCATCATCATCATCGGGACACTGGCGGGACACCGCGGGCCACTGGACGCCCGGGGCACAATCATTTGGTCCGGCCGCGCCTCAGTCACAGGAGACTTTCCTGACACCGGCGGGACACCGCGGGCCGCGGGCCACCGGACGCCGGGGGCAGAATCATTTGGTCCGGCCGCGCCTCAGCCACAGGAGACTTTCCTCTCGCCCGCCCACGCAGCTTCGCCTCGCCCGCACGCACGGCACGCACGAACACGAAACCGAAATCGACGTCCCGGTAGGGGGGCTCTCCGTTCCACTTCGATCTCTCCCCCCAATGTCCGATTTATAAAGATGCACATTTGGAGACTCCTCTTCCGATATGTTTGCTAGCCGGGTGGGCGGGAAACACCGTCCCCCCCTTCCCCAAAAAATACCTCCAGGATCCGGGGGCCCTGGGGCCCCCTGGACGCCCCTGCAGGAGGCCCCCCAGGCTTTCCAGAGCTCCTGGACGCCCCTGGGTATGGAAGGTGACGGAGTGGCGAGACGCAGCGTGGCAAGCAGCTGCAAACGGGCTCGGCGCTGCTCTCATTATGCGACCGTCCTCCCGCAAGTGGATGCGTTTCGAGGGCGTCATGCGGCGTTTTTGTACCCAGAGGGCCCTTGGCGAATGGAGGTGTCTGGCTCGCAGTTCACGATTGGCAGGCACTGTCTACTGCTTTCGTCGAGTGGGCAGCTGAGGCGAAGTTCGACGAGTGAGGATCTCACCCCAGGTCCTGCCTCTCGCGGGCCATTCTGATAGGACTTGAACCTTGAACCTTGAACCTCCTGGACGCCCCTTCCGGGCCTAGGCAGCGGGCCCAACTCGGCCAGGAGTGCGGCGGAACGGCCCTCCGAGGGCCCCAAGATGCCCCAGACACCCACCGGACGCCCGATGACGACCCAAAGAAGACCCCCAAGAGGCTTTCGAAACGCACAAAACATTGATTCTCCATGGTGTTTGCATGATTGTTGGAATGCCCTCTTCTTCAGTCTTCCCGGCGTCCGAGACCGCCCAGGAGGCCCGAAAATCGTCCCAAAATGATCCGAAGGGGTTCCAAGCAGTCCAAGGGAGCCGCAGTCCAAGAGAGCCCCAAGATGACACAATAGGGTTGCAAGATGGCCCCATGACGGCCCAAGATGTCCCCAATGTGCCCCCCCGACGCATTCCAAATCGTGGCCCGGTCGTTCAGGGAGACCGCGGTTGGAAGCAGGGTGGCCAGTGGAAGCCCCCAGAGGCCTCCAGAAGGCGCCCAGGAGGCCTCTGGACGGACCCAATGAGCCCTCCAAAACTGTCGTGAGGCCCCCAATCGGTTGTTCCAAGGAGGAGCCTTCGCAAAAAGAGCTGAGGAGGAGGGGGAATGATTCGCAGGGTAGGGCGAAAATGAGGAAGAGGAAGGGGAAACAGCAGGGAAGGATGATGAAACACATTATTGTGACAGCGATGCCGGAAAGGACAACAAGGAGCTATCGCTAAATGGTCTTTTGTACCTTCCTGCCCTTCCGCCTGCATGTCAATCTTCAAGGACCAAGGTGCATGGCGCGAAGCGCCGATGCAGTTTTATGTGCGTATCTGTAGATCTACATGTGTATATATATATATATACATATATATATATATAGTATGTATGCGTGTGTGTATGTGTGTATGTCTCTCTCTCTCTCTCTCCCCCCCACTTCTCTCTTCTATATGTTCTCGCTCTCTCTCTCTCTCTCTTCTCTCTCTCTCTCACGCATGCTCACACTTCGTGGTTCGCTGGCATCTGCAGGGTATGTCCCTCTTGATCTGTCTCCTCCCACCAGCCCAACCCAATCACGAGCCTGACTCTGTGTAAACCATCGCGTCCGAGCAATTCCATCTTGCCCAGGGACACCGTAACATGTACCGATCGCCCGATTGTTGAGGATCTCATCCATTTGTTCACCGAATTCGGTCAGAAGCCAGTGTAAGTTGTATGCGCGCATGTGGACAATTGCGCTGATGAGTTGGTAAGCATTGGTGAGTGAGCCGAACACATGACAGGGCTATTTCTGGCATAGTATTATCTGTTGCTCCACCCCAGTATGGTTACCGTATGTGTGGAAGAGCTCGATCTCGATTCGATTGAAGCAGATCATCTGATTCGGTAAGTTCTGGTTTGCGCTCACGCGAGCGCGCGAGTGTGGCCAGCATGCTGTTGCGTCACTTCCACAGCGTTGTACTTTTGACAGTGGATCGTGCCCAGGCTGCATCTGACGAAGGATGTCGTCTCGTAGATCGGATTTTCATGAGCTCCATAGAACAAACGAACGAACGTAAAGTGCGTGCCAGCGTGGACCCCCAGCAGTGAGTTATTGCAGCTTCGGAGAGCATGCCACGTGGTGTAGCGGCAACGAGGCGGCAACGGGCGGCATATTGGCGAATCTTCGACATACTCCCCGAGGAGGCAAGGCGCAGTAACGCGGCGACTCTTCGGCATACCCCCCGAGGTGGCGACGGCAGGCAACGTGGCGCATCCTCTGCAAACCCCTTCGAGGCGGCAAAGGGTCGGGCGACAACGGGCGGCCTTTTCGCGAATCCTCGACAGACCCCTCCGAGTTTGCAGCGAGCAGCAACGGGCGGCAGCGTGGCGAATCATCGATGGACCCCCCGTGGCGGCAACGAGGAGGCGACGGGCGGCAACGAGCGGCAACGTATGAGTTCTCGGCGTAACCCCCGAAGCGGCAGCGGGCGGCAACTCGGCGAATCCTCGACACACACCCCGCATTGGCATAGGGCGGCAGCATGCGGCAGCGTGGCGAATCCTCGACACACGCACACACGCACGCACACACACACACACACACACGCACACACGCACACACCCCGAGGCTTCAACGTGCGGCAACGTTGCGAATCCTTGACAGACCCTCCGAGGTGGCAGCGGGCAGCCTCTTGGCAAATCCTCGGTCTACCCCCCGAGGAGGCGGCGGGCGGCGACGTGGCGAGTCCTCGGCATACCCCCAGCGGTGGCGACGGGCGCCAGCGGGCGGCGGGTTGGAGAATCATCGACATTCCCCGAGGCGGCAACGGGCGGCAATGTGGCGAATCCTCGACACACCCCTTGAGGTGACAACGAGGCGGCAACGAGCGGCAGCTTCGCGAATCCTCGACCTATTCCCCCGGGCGGTAACGGGCGGCAGCGTGGCGAATCTTCGTCATTCCCTCCGAAGGGGCAACGGGCGGCAGCTTGGCGAATCTTCAACATACCAATCAAACTTTTAGGGAGACACGTGAGAACCCCTAAGTGCAAGCACTGTTTTTGGAAAAGATGGCAGGGATGGAACCGGCTCGGTTTGGCTGACAGGCGACCGTACGTTCATGACATGCAATGGTCATGCGATCCCATCGAATAGTATAGCTTCGCAGAGCATGGCCATCAGCTTAGTCGCATTGACCGGAATACTCTGTGTAGTGTTTTTGTCATTCGCCTTAAATGTTGCGCCATGTCTTCTGCCGCCAAGGGTGGACATAGCCATCTGGTCAGGCTTGGGAGGCGGAAGCGAGCACCTACTTATTTTGCGCTGGTAGGTAGGAAGGTCGTCGTTTTCGTATTCGTTGTTTTGCCGATCTGCGCGGGCCCTCGCAACCCCAACCTCCCCCCCCCATGGAGTAGATCTTGGCTGATTCTGACAATGTTTCGAGCAGGTGGGGTCTCCCCCGAAGGACGCACGATTCCAAACAGTTGCATTTAAGCAGAGGTCCAGAGCTAGACCTCCCCATCCCCCCTTTCCGCCCAATGCCGAAACGCCGCAAAAGAAAACGCTCACCAGATCTGAGCAGGAGGGCCCGTGTAAACCAGAGACTCGTCAACGATGCTCCGCAGCCACTCTGGCTTAAGGACCTCGGGGCCAAGCGCGCCTCCGTTTGCAGATGCCTGCTGCAGCCCCGCGAGCGGGGCCCACTCGGCGTGGCCGCTCGCCGCCGCATGCGGCGGCGACCTGTGGAGCAGCGAGGTGTCCCGCAGCAGCTTCGCGACACAATTTGCTCGAGCACGTCTTCAAGCTTGTGCCCTGCACGGGCCTCCGGGGTGTCTCGGCATGCTGAGGCAGGAGGCGTTCGACATCTTCTGCGTGGTTCTCTCTCGCAGAGGTGCCAGGGTAACGCTCCTTGACTACGCCTACCTCCTGGAGGCCTTCGCCGGGACCGTGCCCGGAGAGGGCGCCGTCCTCCTTCCAGCAGATCGCCGAGGTACTCCAGCTGGGCCTCTGCAAGCACGTCCTCTGCACGGCAGCGCAGCCCACGGCACTGCTCCTCTGCGAGTGCTGCCTCCAATGGTGCGGCGTAGATTTTAGCAGCCAGTGCAGCGACCAGAGGCTGGAGAACTACAAGTTTTAGCGCCCTGAGCCTGTCCACGGGCAGAATCGCGATGCGGGCGACGACCCGGGCCAAATGTGAGGCTCTCTCCGTAGCGGACGAGGTGCAACGTTTGCGAACGCATTTGGCGGCCCGGCTGCACGTCGCTGCGTCGATCAGGCCATGACGTTGCACATGGGGTGTCGCAGATTGCGAGCTGGTGTGCGGCCAATGCTTTGTTTCCAGGCCCCTCGCTCCTTTCCAGAGGGCCTCACACCTCACCGACCAAGCTAGGTAGTGGTAGTGAATGAACGCGTTCTTTGCAATGTTTTGGTTGAAGCAACTACGTTGTATCATCAGTGACAGTTTTTTGTCAACGGAAATCCTTTCACTACCACGACCAGCGCGTAACTGTTTTTTGTTACTTTCAGGCCCGTGGCTCGCTCCGAGAGGGCCTCACGCAACCCCCATGGACCTTCTTTCAGCCCTCCCCTCCAGTGTCAGGTGCCTGCGGCAAATCCGCTGCCCTCCCTTCTACAACCCCTCGGCTTATGCTTCCGGCCAGGTGCCTACGGCAAACCCGCCCTTCGCGCCAGCGAAGCATTGTGTGTGGCGACGCTTCGGGAGCCGCCCAAGAGGCTGCCACGCGTGACCTGACGTCTCCACCTCCACCTCTCCACGGCACGGCACTTCTCCTAGTGTTTCCTCCGATGGTGCGGCGTGTACGTCAGCAGCCCTTGGAGCGGCGACCAGAGTTCAAACGATACGAAGCATCAAAACAACAAAAAACGACTCGTCAACGATGTTGCAATCAGCCCTCCCTCCAAGTTACCTTTTCACAGGTCCCTAAAAGGATTTATTTCTGAAGGAGGTGCATCCTGAACCGTGTGAGAACCCCGTTCATGGGATTTAGACACCGCAAATCAACGTGACTGCCGCGTCCCGACAGTCCTACATCGTGCCAAAAGACAAGTTCTGGGACGTCAACCTTGCAAATCCCTGGAACTGCGGTAAACTCTCAAGACGGATGTGCGCGGCGCTAAGGCGCGAGCCACATTTTGAAAAGGAACCTTCTACAAACAGTGAAGACGAACTCGTGCGTCGCTGAGGCGAGAGACACATTTTGAAATCCGCCCGCCCTCCATCCGTGAAGCCCTTGCAAACGCTTGAGACAAATGTGCGCGGCGCTCAGGCGAGAACCGCATTATGATAATTCACCGCCCTCCATCCGTGATCCTGTTGAAGATTCTGAGCTTCAAAATCATTTTTGTTGAGGAAGTTGGCCTCTTCGGGGCCTCCTTGGGGAGCTCTTTGGCCACTTGTAGCCGTCTTTGAGCGTTATTGGGGCCTCTTGGAGCATCTTGGGAGCCATCTTGAGCCATCTTGCGCTATCTTGCACCATCTTGGAGTCCATGCTTGGCTCTCCGAGGCCCTCTTGGAGCCGTCTTGGGCCATCTTGGACGCTCCAACTACCCGCGGAAACCCCCGTCCAGGTCCAGGGGAGGCGGGTATGGGGAGAGGTAAACCCTCTTCGAAGAGGAAGAAGGGGAGTGGAAGAGAAGCCGCCCTAGACCACGTACGCCCAGAGGCTTGGTGGGATTCTCAGCTTCAGGATCGTTTCTGGTGAAGAAGTCCGAGGCGAAACGCCCGGCCCGCCCTGCCGACACGTCTCGGGGAACGACGGAAGGAGCTCCCTACAAGGAAAGGGAGTGGAGCGGCAACAGAAGCAGCATCACGAAGCAGGAGGAATCTGGAGGAGAGTCGGAGGAGAAAGAAAAGGACGCGATGATAACGTAGCAGAAGGACGTGGAACCGTCGGGTTTCGAATAGCGGACGAACCAAGACGGAAATAGCGGAGAAGGTTTCCAACTGTTTGCGAGAAGAAGGATGGCGTATGCAAAAAAGGCAACCATAAGATACGGAGCAGTTTGGGGAATACGTGATGATGAGTACTGGCTTAGGTCGGAATCGTGTTCCGCACTTGCCAATCATTAAGGTGAGGAGGTGGAGGAAGCTGAAATTGCAGAGCGCACCCCACGCCCCAACAGACTGCCCAAGGAGAGGAGGACGAGGACGTGGACGTGGACGGGACGAGCCAGTACAATTCTTGGCGTTTCGCGTATCGGACGTGGCGCGGCCGCAGCCCGACCGCGATCGCCCGCCGCCGGCGCTTCCGCCTGCGGCTGTAAAAAAAGTATCGGACGTGGTGTCACCGAGTTTGAAGTGTTAATTCTGGCTCTTCTTTCTCTGAGTGGCTGCCCGCGCGCTCACTTTGCTTGCCTCTCTTCTTGCTGCCTAGTCGCGGCCCGGGTAGTGTTTGGACGGTTTTCGACCTGCTTCGCGAGCCCGCAGGCCAAAAAGTATCCGACGTGGCCAGCCCGACTGCCAGCCCCACGGCCGGCCCCGCGGCCTGCCCTACGGCCAGCCCGACGGCCAGCCCGACCGCCCGCCCGACTGCCAGCCCCACGGACGGTCCCACGGCCAGCCTGGTCAGCCCAACGGCCAGCCCGACGGCCAGCCCGACGGCCAGCCTGGCGACCAGCCTGACTGCCAGCCCTGCGGCCAGCCCCACGGCCAGCCCCACGGCCAGCCCGGCTGCCAGTCCCACGGCCAGCCCCACGACCAACCCGGCTGCCACCCCCACGGCCAGCCCGACGGCCAGCCCGACTGCCATCCCCACGGCCGGCCCGACTGCCAGCTCCCAGGCAGGTCTCACGGCCAGCCTGGCCAGCCTCACGACCAGCCGGGCGGCCAGCCTGACGGCCAGCCTCGTGGCCAGCCCGACTGTCAGCGCCGCGGCCAGCCCCACGGCCAGCCCCACGGCCAACATGATTGGCAGCCCCACGGCCAGCCCGACTACCAGCCCCACGGCCAGCCCGACTGCCAGCCCCACGGCCAGTTCGACGGCCAGCCCAATGGCCAGCTCCACGGCCAGCCTGGCGACCAGCCCCGCGGCCAGCCCGACTGCCAGCCCCACTGCTTGGCCGGCTGCCAGCCCCACGGCCCGCCTGACGGCCAGCCCCGTGGCCAGCCCGACTGTCAGCCCCGCGGCCAGTCCCACGGCCAGCCCCACGGCCATCTTCACAGCCAGCCCGACGGCCATCCCCACGGCCAGCCCCACGGCCAGTCCCACGGCCAGCCCAGCCAGCCCCACGGCCAGCCTGACGGCCAGCCCGACGGCCAGGCCCGGGGGCCAGCCCGACTGCCAGCCCCACGGCCAGCCCTACGGCCAGACCCAGGGCAAGGCCGACTGCCAGCCCCACGGCCGGTCCCACGGCCAGCCCGACTTCCAGCCCCACGACCAGCCCCATGACCACCCCCACGACCAGGCCCACGGCCAGTCCCACGGCCAGCCCGACTTTCAACCCCACGACAAGCCCCACGGCCATCCCCACAGCCAGCCCGACCGACAGCCCCACGGCCAGCCCGATCCAGCCCCACGACCGGCCCCACGGCCACCCCCACGACCAGGCCCACGGCCAGTCCCACGGCCAGCCCGACTTTCAACCCCACGATCAGCCCCATGGCCAGCCCCACAGCCAGCCCGACCGACAGCCCCACGGCAAGCCCCCAGCCCCACGGCCCGATTGCCAGCCTCGCGAGCATTCCGACCGCCAGCACACGGTTCTGCCCGACGGCCAGCCCGACAGCCAGCCCCACGGCCAGTCCCATGGCCAGCTCGACGACCAGACCCACGACCAATCTGACGCCTCACCCGACACCGCCCCCGACGCCCAACCTGACGCCCTACCCAACACTCTACCTGAGGCCTTGCCCGACGCCCACGCCAGCTCCTCGGCCAGCCCGACGACCAACCCGACGGCCTGCCCGACAGTGAAGCCACCCTTCAGACGGCACTGGGAAGTTCCACCGCGCCCACACGTCAGCCTTCCCCTGACGAGCGGCACAACGAAGCCATCCTGCAGCTGGTTTCGAGGAGCCTTTTCGCCCCTATTCGTCCTCCCTCCCCTGCCAGCGACTCGATACGGGCGGACGCCTCTACAAGCAGCCACGGGGCAACCCCTGCCTCCCTGCAAAGCGTGCCAGACCCCCCTTCTCTGGTGGGGACGCGAGCTCGACCGCTGAGACGGGCCGGCTGCCCCACCGAGGGGGGCATCCTTGGCGCGTCGGGCGGGAAGTGGGTGGACGCCCAGGCTGTTCGCCGATCGCCAGCAGCCAGGACCACGAGACTCCAACAGTGGAAGGCCGCTCTTTAAAGCCCGGGCCCACGACTCCCAGTGGGAACCCCACGGGGAGTCGCCAAACGAGACCATCAGGCACTTTCAGGTCACCCTGGGTGCGTCGTTCATAGCCGTATGGCACGCCTTTGCCGAGCAACACGCTGCCCCTGGCACCACGCGCGCTTTCGACCCGCGTCGGCACGACCAGCGGACCTGCGTCGCCTTCCTGACCTCACTTCACAACCACACCTGCGATGCTCGGGCCATGAGCGACTCACTGGGCCTGGGTGTCGACTGGGCGCAGGTGCGCGGGCAACACCTGGGACACCACGTCGGCGCGAACAGGGGGCGCCAGGCACCGCCGCGAGATGGTCGGGATCTCGTGGGCGCCGACAGTGGCCGCGCGCTGCAGGGTGCGATTGCTCTCGGGCGAGGTCGGGCCTTCGACGTCGAAGACGCGGCAGTTTGCCTCCACCCCCGTGACGACCGCGTCGGCGAGCCGTTCCCCCATCGTGCGGCTGTCAGTCGCTTCTCACAACACCCGCCCCATCGTGGTTGTTTCTTACCACCGCGCGACCGTCAATCGCGCCCTCCCGCCACTTTCCTCTGCACCTCCGGTGCCCTTTCCACCCTCACTTCCGCGGCTGCCCGCCGCTTCCCCCGGCCGCCCCCCGCCCGCCTCCTGGCCCCCGTCCCCCACGGTTACGCTGCTCCACTTCGCGGCGATCTGGTGCTTTCCCCCCGTCCGCCCCCCGCCCGCCCCGTGGCCCCCGTCCTCCACGCCCGCCCCCTGCGCGTTTCCAGTGCTGTGCGACCGTCAGTCGCTCCAACGGCTTGCTCGAGCATGACCAGCAGCAAAACTGCACCGTCCACTGCCGGGACGTCCCGTGCATCGTCGTCTTGCAATACACCGCAGACGACCATCAGAGCGACCGCGAGCAGCACGGTCACGACCAGCACAGTCTCGTGGCCACAGTACGAGCGGCCCCAGGGCCCCAGCAGCACGACGGCCAGCTCGAACGTGACCAGCAGCACAACGGCAGCGTCCACCCCTTTTGGCTCCCCTGCATCGTTGCCTGCAGCACGCCTCAAACGACCAGCAGCGCTACCCGTGCAGCAGGGTCGCAAGCAGTACGGCCACGTGCAGTGCGACGT